GCCAAAGTCACGCGGTGCTGGGAACCAGGCGGGCTGAGTCCGGATCTCAGTTAGAATCTCTGTGCTTTCCTGCCCTCCAGTAGCAGTCACGTCCATACTTGTGGTGCGGAGTAAGTGGCATAAAACGGAAAAAAACATGTAGCACAGATCAGGCGTTTAGTATATGTTCAGTAAACCTTCGCTGTCATGGGCCCACAGGCCCTGTAAGGAAGCCTTGAGGCCAATGTGTTTTGCAATTCAGAACGTTTCAAGAGAGTCAAAGGCAACCCACAAAAGGGGAGGATAGATTTGCAAATCACAAATCTGGTCAGGGCTTAATATCCCAGAATACATAAAGAACTCTTACAACTCACCACCACCACGAAAACCGATTCAAAAATGGACCAAGAACCTGAACAGACATTTCTCCAAAGAAGTTAAAACAAATGGCCAGCAAGCACATGAACAGATGCTCAACAGCACTAATAATCAGGGAACCGCAAATCAATACTATGAGACGCCACCTCACATCCGTTAGCACAGGTGTTATAAAACCACCAACCAACCAGGAAACAAAAAAAACCCTGAAAGCAAGTGCTGGTGAAGATGTGGAGAAACCGGAACCCTGATGCACTGCTGAGGACAATGTAAAACGGGGCAGCTGCGGTGGAAAACGGTAAGGCAGTCTCTCAAAAAATTAAACACGGAATTACTGTTATGAGCTAGCAATCCCACGTCCGGGTGTACACGCCGAAGAACCGGAAAGCAGGAATGCAGGGCGTGTGGGCACCAGTACCAAAGCACCATTATTCACAACAGCTGAATGGCAGAGGCAACCCAGACACCCGTCGGCAGATGAATGGGTAAGCAAAACGCGGCGTTAATATACAGAATGGAATACTATGCAGCCCTAAAAAGGAAGGGAGTTCTGAACCTGCTCCAACACGGATGGACCTTAAGGACCTTATGCTGAATGGAATGAAGTCAGAGGCCAAAGGGCAAATGCTGTCTGATTCTACTCGCAGGAGAAGAGTCAAATCCAGAGACTGAAAGTAGAATGGGGGATGCCAGGGGCTGGGGGAAGGAGGGGAAGGGAAGTTAGTGTTTCACGGACACAAAGCTCCAGTGTGGGACGAAGAAAAAGTTCTGGAGATGGATGGTGGTGACGGCTGTACGACAGCGGGTTGTACACCGAACAATGGCAAAAACGGGAAAGTTTTATGCGTGATTTGCCACAAAAAGAAGAAAGAAAAAGATCGAAGGGTCGTTCCCGCATTGCCTTGCAGGCAGCTTAGAAAGCGAGCCCTTGGCCCGCACCTCTACCCTTGCTCCTGGCGTCTCTGCAAGGACAAGTCTGTTTCCAACCCAGCCGGCTGTGAACCAGCATCCGCCCGCCCATCTAAAGCACGCGTCATGTGATGCAGATGGATCCGCAGAGAGAAAAAATTTCACTTCCATCTGGATTCTTTTCACGCACATCACGACCTGCAAACCGATATGCTCGGCCCGGCTGTGTTCTCTGTTGCAAGCCAGGGGAGGGCAGGGTCACGGTGGCAGGAAGGGGTGGTGGGACCGGACCGATGCTCGGCCTGAACTAGCCAGTGATTTCTGGGCCGTGACACCAGCACGCACACGCACGTGGCCCTTAACCAAACTCCTCAGAATGAAAATACACAGGCTTTTTTCTCCTTTCGTTTAGAGAAGGTGGAAGGAAGGGAAAAGTTAGGGATTAAACTTTTCACAAAGGAAAACTAAGATTTTTTTTTTTCTCGTTCTGAGAAACTTATACTTACCGTCTTGTTCCTATAGCCAAATCATTTCTAGTAGTCCTTAGTTTACCGAGTTACAAAAAGATCGGGTCAAATCTTGGAATCACAGAATTCTTGCACAGCCAACAATAAACATCAGGAGTACGTTCTAAAGACAGAGAAGCTGAACCACTTGGTTTCAGAATAATCAAATTCACTTAAGGAACGTGGCAAATGTATCACATGATAACCCAGGACTCGGAACACATTCAATGTGGCAGAATTTCAGAAAAACACACTGGTTAGGATTTAAATCTCGAAAAGAAAAAGACAACTCTTACTACGCCACCCCACAAGTCAGCGTGAAGCAGAGCTCGGGAGACAGGCCTTTCATCTTATGAAAATGTGCATTTTCATAGGACCAGGGAATTAACACACTTCACGGGTCCTTTTTGCTACAACTATTTTAAGTGTTATCACCCGCTTGAACCGAATCAAAACGAGAAAAGAAAAAGAAAGGAGGACACAAAATGAACAGACCATAACTTTATTGGAGATTGACTCTGCTACAATTATTACAAAAGGAAACAACTAAAGGGAACTGGGACCCATAAGGTGCACTGCGTTATTTCTGCAGCATGGTGACCGTATGAATGAATTACATCATGTTCCTTAAAAACAGCTGCAGCATGTGATGGTGAATATGTTATTGTCAATCAAATCATGTTAGTTTTTCTCGATTTTAGTCATTTTCCTTCACTCTATTTACAGCAGAAAAAGCCAGAGATTCTACTTGGGGTTCACCTTTGCATTTTTGCTATGTAACCCTGCTGATGCAGTGAATTCTGAGTGCCTCTGTAGGATTTAAAGTGTCTGTGGTTGACGTCCAAATGAAAATGGACTAGGGGGAAAAAAAAAAAAAAGACCAATCAATCAATGGCTAAAATATATTTACAAGTTAGTTCTGAAAGACCATTTTCACTGCGAGTGGAGAATACAACAGTCTCGATGTAAATTCCCGTGATATTGCTACCAGGGTCTCCAACAACTGTTAAAAGATCACTTTAATATTCTTGGTCTTAAACATGATCTTAGAAACTTCTCATGGACAATATAAAATAAAGAGATTTATTTGGAAAAGTAATCAGTGGCTGAAAAAATAGACCTATTCAAACGCAATCAAAACGACCGTACAGGTTGATGGATGCGACACGAGTCTCTCTTCCGCAGAGAGCACGGGCTGGGTTGAGGGCTCCGACGTTAATTTCAGACGCAGTTTAAATAAAGGTATCCAGGGTCTCAGCTTGGTGGCTTAACTTTTGTGTGAAAGGATTCGGTACCCTAGCAGAGGAAGGTAGAAGGTTTGAAATCAACCGGGCCTGAAGACGGAACGAACCGTGGTTGGTCTGGGTTTCGACTCTTCTCTGCACCCCGCAGTCCCCGCGGAGCACCCCGGGGGAGAAGGGTGGCAAAGAGCCCACTGCTGGGTGAGCGGTCGCATCTGGGAACTGAACCCACAGAAGCAAAGCGGCCTCAAGTCTCTTGCTCCTTAGGCAGGGCAGTCTGAATCTCTCTGAGGGCCAGCTATTATTAAGAATGTTAAAATATTAGTATTTTTAAGAGATAATTACAGGAGTGTTAGAGGTCATTCTAGATTTCATCACTTCACATGACATTAAAGGAAAACCGAAAAAAAAAAAAAAAAAGAGTAACAAATACGTTTAAAACACACTTAAGAGTTCAGTGAACAGATCTTTGTCATACACAAACAGTAAGAAATGCCACAGACCAAAAAAAAAAAAAAAAAAAAAAAATGACCTATTTAAGTTGTGCGAGTATATGACACATTGCAGGCATTATAATCATCTTTTTCAAATCCGGCAAATCAAAACAGCAGCGAGGCCAAACCACATTTTTTTTTTTTTTCCTCTCCGTGAAGCAGATTTTCCTTGAAATGAGGTAAAGCATGGTACCAAGTGCAAGGCTTCTCTGTGCTACACGAACAGAACGGAGGGGGGACAAAGCTATTACAAAACGCAGCATAGTTAGGACCGTGGAAAGGAGATCACGAGAGAAAGGAAGAATCTGTACAACGAAGGTTCGTCCCCACTAACCTCCACACAATCATCGGAAGGAGCTTCTGCAGCTGCTTCCTCAGGACACCCCCCGACCCCCCGCCCTGCACACACGTGCCCGTGGCGCCCCCCCCCCCACCCCCCAGTGCCCTCGGCTCGCGGGGCTTCCGTTACATTCGCTCTCACAGTGCAATCACAGGAACAAAGGGATGACACACGCGGGTGGCAAGTGGGGCGACAGAGAGTGATTTTCCTCCTTAATCGATGGATGCAAAACATTTCAACAAGCTAAACTGGGGGTCGGGGGGGTGGACTTTACAGCATTAAAAATCAGCAGCACGAAAGCGTTCGTAACCCATCTCATTTGTCTAACTCGAGTTTTTATTTTTTGACTTCGTAAACCAGGGGATCACAGAATCCGTCCGAGTGTGAGTCACAGATCAAAATTAGCTATCTGTCTCCAACAACAGAAAAATGGAATAGCGAAAGGTTGCCGTTGAGAAAACATTTTGAATGGTAGCAGGAAATTTGAACCCCTGAGAATGTATGACCTAATCATATCCGAGTCTGAACTTTTTAGTTTTAACAAAAAATACTCTTCTTAAGGTTACAAAATATATTGAGGCATTTTTCTCCCAACGGGAATTGTAACTGTGAAACAATCTGGTTTTGGTGCCAGGAGGCGAGAGAATCCCTTAATGCTGGGATTAGTGCATTAGACGCAATGCAAAGCCCTGGGCTCCCGGCATCAGGTAGTTTATAAATTAAGAAGAGATTTGTGATATAACGTTATCACAAAATCACCCTCACAAGTACAATTCACATCCAGCCTTACTTGTCAATTATACACGTTTACAGTTAATATAATTCAAGAGTTGCTTGGTTTTCACTTGCTAGGAGATCTGACACTGAGGTTTTATTTTAAAAAACCGAACAGAAAGCGAAGGTTCCAAATCGGAAAGAAGTATTTTCAAAAGGAGTCTACCCAAATCAATTTGCTCAAAGACACACTGAATAATTTAGATCGCAATTGAAATTTAAGACCGGAGACAACGAATAACATTGGAGAAGCTTAACATCCCGTCCAACTCAGGTCCCCTTCGACAGCGGCGCCCCCCGTTTTCCCCCCCCACCCCTGCACCCCCCCCCCCCCCCCCCCCCCCCCCCCCCCCCCCCCCGGTGCAGATAAAGCAAGAAATACAGTATCTGAGTGTATTTAAAAACAAAAACGCAGCATTACATGAAGCATCAAGTTCAGGATGATGTGCTGGAAAACATTAGACACCTCTGCTCGGCTTTCTTAAACTTCAAGCATAATTAACAGAGCAAATTGCAGCAAACCTCTACTGGTGTGTCGGTGGGAGTGCAGGACTGACCTGCAGCTTTTCAAAAGGTAAATTAAGAGGTATTATAGTTACAGTGCAAAAAAAAAAAAAAAAAAAAAAAAAAAAAATTTAAAATTTCAAGCATAATACATAAACATAGCACCAAACACGGGAAAAATGCATGCAAAAGAAAAGAAAAACTGAGGTATTTAAGTGAAGAGTGCCTACAGGTCTAATTAAAGAAACTTCGGCAAATGCCTAAAAATGTTTTTTTTTTCTTTTTTTTTCCTTTTCCAAAGATGGAAAGAATGAGTTTATCTAAATTAATGACCTAAATCACAGATGTATCAAAATTACGGCAGTTTATCACAAACGTTACATTTCCATGGCATTAACAGCACGGCTTTGGTAGGTGAGATCTGCATGCAACACTGTGAAAAGTACAGTAAGACATTGACGTGAGAAGAGACTAACGGTAAAGGTGCTTTGTTTTGCTTCTTTAAATAAGTAACCAATCACTTATAAAATCTGCAGCATATTTTAGGTGTGATATGTCTAAAGGTTATCTGGTTAGAGCAACAGCCTACAGGGCAAAACTGTTTGCCACAATTTCCATCAGTGAAGCTACCTAGCAGGAGGTTTTTAGTAAAACTGGGTATTTAGCCAAAGATCCTTTTTATTATGGTGCTTAGAAAAAATCCAGAGACTACATATCTATTCTGGTTTTCAAGATGCCTTCGGGACACATACGACAGAAACGCTAATATAATCCTGTAATAAGTCACAACCACACTAGTGAGTTGCAAGTATCACACGGTCTCGACATCTTAAATGCACAATAAAATGAAGGGAATGTAAAATAGTTTGTTCCAAAAGGATCGGAAATCAAAAGGACATCCATGAGGGCTTTACTTTTAAGGCGAGAACCTTTTTCTATTCAAGACTACGTGGCATGAGAAAACGAAAATTTGATTCACCAACGTGCCAGCCAACGTTAATGAAAAACCTGTCCCTTACTCTATATTAAGTGCAACGGCGACCGGGAGACATCGTCTTATATGACAGGGCATGGAAAGAAAGGACGGTGCGGGCACTCTTCTCCTCTGGCAAACCGCACCATTCTCCTGGGCGCATGGGCCACCGGGGGACCCGTGCCGGTGCCCACGCTGAGGAGGGGAGGACGCCCCACGGAATCCAGGGGCCGTCTCAGCCGTAAAGCTCCTTGGCCTCCTACCACTAAGCGAAGCTGACAGAAATGAAACTAGGTTAACACAAAAACAAAAACAAAAACCCCAAACAAAAAGAGAACTGCCGATAATTATTTTGAACACTTGCCAAATGTCATCATTAAAGCACTCTTGTGATCTGAACAAAGCGGAAGTGAGGAAAGAAGACGAGATTGTGTTTGCGCAAAAAACTAAAACTACAGTTAGCTCCAAAATTTTTATACATATGTTAAATGTTTTATTCTGTAATCTAGCTTGTTATCAAACAACCTTTAAATTCTGCCTTCGATTCATTCCGCTCACTACCGACTTGAAGTCACCCTTGTCAATTTCAATGGTTTTCCCCTTAATTCTGCTTTTTTTGTGTTTTTCACTTTAAAAAGGGGCTTCAGCTGTTGGGAACCTGAGGTTGATTGGCTTTGAGGCTGCGGAGGGCTCTTCTTGCTGCCGCGGACTTGGCAATCCTGTAGCTTCGGCCGACGCCTTTAAATTTCCCCTTCCCCACCACTTCCACCGTGACTCTGACCTTGCCGTCGTACGTTCTCTCAGCCGGGCTGCGAAGAAACCAAACAGCTTGTATCAGAAGTCAGAACTATTTATTATGACTGTCAATCAGCACTGAGCACGCACTCGGGGGGGTGGGGGGTGGGGTGTGCAAGCCGACAGCACACAAGGAAACGTGCAGCGCACGGGGGCGCGTACCCCGACAGACGGGGCTGCGTCTCGCTTTTAACGCGGCGTTACTCTATGAAAGCAAAAGGGAAAGTCAATCAGACTACAAATATAAAGTGCAGAGCGCATGCCCCAGTGTAAACATTTTTCAGAATCATTAGTTTATGACATCTCTTGACAACTCCCCACCCCCCCCCCCCCGACCCTCGTTTTCAAGCAACTTAATTTTTTCCATGCACGTTCTGCCTTACCTAAATTTGGCAGTTTCTGGTTCCATTTCAAGCAATTCTCGCACAGGGGAGCGGGGCACATTTGCCGAAAATTTTTCTGTAATCAAAACGAAAGAACAGCGTGCGTGATATCCTTGTCATTCTTTTTTAAGGATGATTTTGTTTCTTTCCAAGGGGAGCGAACGGTACCTATCAGCGGCCGCATCATAGGATAGTACACCTGCCAGACCATCTCCAAGGACATCCCACTATCCATGTAAATGGCACCAGCAAGTGACTCGAAAATGTCCCCCATGGCCTTTGGAACTTCAATATCCTCTTCTTTCTCTTCGTCCTCCTCAGACCTCCTGAGCTATTTACACAGAGAAAAGTGATGTGTAAGCAAAAAGACCATCTTTAAAGGCGTTCCACAGAAGTGCGTTTCTTTTCTCAGCAAGGACTCTTACTATATCTTTAACAAGGGTAACACCACCAACCATTTGGGGCAACCACCTACTACACTGTAACAGGTTCTTCATAAACATTATCTTACCTAAAAAAAAGATTTTTCCAACTTCTCAAAGAAAAAAAAAAAACCAAAAACAACTCCCTTCCCCATTCAGTATTATTCTATACTCAGCAAAGGGAAAAAAGAGTACTTCTAAATGAAAACAAAATCAACTTTAACACAAAATTAGAAATAGTTAATGAACGTATAAAAAAAATTTTCAAATCCACTCTTCATCAAAGAACTTCATCTTAAAACATTTCTACCCCCTAGCGGCTTGGCAAGGATTAGGCAGAATACTAATCCGTACAGCACGGGCAAGGGTTGTGTAAGTTACTTTGGGGAGTAGAAGTTATCACTTTTTGCCAGGGAAATTCTACTAGAAGACAGATTTCTCCAAGCTCCCTTTTTATTAAACCCCTTAGCACACACTGCCTATTAAGAGTACCTGACACGTATTCAAATTAATGTAATGAAAAATTATGAATATACTAATGCCTTTTAAAAGTTCAAAATTCTGGGGCGCCTGGGTGGCGCAGTCGGTTAAGCGTCCGACTTCAGCCAGGTCATGATCTCGCGGTCCGTGAGTTCGAGCCCCGCGTCGGGCTCTGGGCGGATGGCTCGGAGCCTGGAGCCTGTTTCCGATTCTGTGTCTCCCTCTCTCTCTGCCCCTCCCCCGTTCATGCTCTGTCTCTCTCTGTCCCAAAAATAAATAAACATTGAAAAAAAAAATTTAAAAAAAATAAAAAAATAAAAAAATAAAAGTTCAAAATTCTTTGAACAGGAATCCCATCTCTAGGAATTTATCTGAAAAAGGTACTGGATATATTTGCCACACGTATGTTTATTAAAAGCCCTAAGTAAAAACAACTTAAATACCTAGGCACAACGGACTGTTTAAATACATTCCATTAGAGCTATATTGACAACTGTGCAGCTACTGAAAGTTGTAATGCCGCTGGATACGTGGAAAGGTGTCCTCAATACATTAAGTGAAAAAAACACACTGTGGTATACTATGCATAATATAATGGCACTTTACATTTCATGTATGTTTACGTTTATACGTATCAGCAATAAAACATCACAGACCGTTAAGTCTGGTTATTTCTAAGGCAGCATATTTGCGTAACTTTAATCTTCCTTTTGCTTATCTGTATTTTATAAATAAACACAAATTACTTGTGAGAAACAAAAAAAGAGGTGAGGTTTTTTTCAAATTTCTAGATGGACTGTTTAGCCACACAGAGCTCTATATAAACCACTTGTAATGCTGACTCTTGGGAAAACAAGATACTTACTGTTGGTACATCATGGTTTTGAGGTAGAAAGGAATTTTAAAACTTACTGAGTTTAATTCTCTCCTTTCACAAAAGAAGAAACCGAGGCCCGGAGAGGTGGAGAGACTTTAAGATCCAACAGGAAGTCAGAAAAGCCAGACCACTGACATTTCTAATCACTTTTTATGACTCCTGATACATACGTTTCTGTAAACAAAGGTCAGGAAAAGAGGGGACACAACAGAACCGGCGTGGCCCGCTGTCATCAAAAACGGCTGAAGTCGAAGTCTGGCTAGTGCCTCAAATTCTAAGCTTAAAGGCTTCTGAAGAACGAGACCAGAAGTCCTACTGAGAACACAGGGGCTGTGTTCCTAAGTCCTGGTCCCACTGCTAGCTGTGCTCCAACTCGGACCATTCACCCTGGACGAGTACCCGCCGGGGAACGTGGATTCCCCTCCGGCACACGCTCTGTAGTGTTTACAGGCTCTGACACTTCCCTTGCGGCCACACCTCCAATTCCTTTCACAGCAAGTCAAAGGAAATGCACTGCTCCCCAGCCAAGGTTTGGGGCAATTAAAAGAAGGGAAGGTGCAGATCACCGAAGGAACAATTAAAACGGCCACCAGACTGCCGCACACATTTCCTGCCTCCTTACAAGAAATCTACAAAAGTAAGAGAAACAAAGGAATCAGGACGTGCAGAACAGGACCCGAGAGTGCTCTCCTGGGTACACGCAGGCCTGCAGAAGGATGGCAGCGAAGGGTCAGAGAGGGGAAAGATGGAAGTGAGAGCCTTCGCTACAAAACTTCAAAACGGCCCGGAACGCATTAAAATGAGCTCCATCACGGAAGAACCTCGGGCTGAACTCGGGCCAGAAGCCTCCCAAATGCCACCGGCTAGAATCTCAGAAGGCTGGTTTTTAAGTGAGTTCTCCTATTTTCAAGCAGCAGCAGCAGCAGCAGAACAGACACACGTTTGTGACGCTTACCTGACAAAGCATCAGCGAACCTTTCTGACCCCTTCGAACAACCAAAGGCAGAATAAACCGCACGAGCCCTAAGGTTCACGCTGGCTTCGGGCAGGGGAAGCCGGGGCGGCCCGATCCGACCCGGCCCCAGGCCCCGGCCGCTTCCCTCCCCCGAAGGTCCACGCGCGGCCCCGCGGGCGCGGTCAAGGGTAAAGGGCCCACGGGAGCACGCGCGGCTGTCACCTCCGTCCGTCCGGAGACGGGAGCGCCCGCGGCGGGCTGGCTGCCGGCGGCGCCTCACTCACCTCCGAGTCCATGCCCTGCATCTCGTTCTTCTCCAGCTGGAACTGCACGAAGTCGTCGATGACGTGGAAGAGCTCGGGGGAGACGGCTTTGAAGTACTTGTGGTAGTCGTACTTGACCGCCAGCGACGCGAAGATGGTGTTGTTGACCAGCGCGGACCGCAGGTCGGTCAGGACGCCCGGGGAGTGCTGCCGCGGGTCTTCGTAAAGGTGCTTGGTTATGAGGTAGTCCAAAATCGCATCTCCCAGGAACTCCAGGCGCTGGTAACAATCTGCGGGCGGCCCAGGGCGCAGCCGTCAGCTCGCGCCTTCCCGCACGGTAACCCGCACGGTAACCCGCAGCGCGCGCGGGGCCCCAGACCCACTGCAGCCGGGCCTGGCGGGCTTCGGGCGAAGTTCACGCATCCGCTCCAGTGACAAGCCGTGTGACGTGCCACACTTACTAAAGCCTCTGGCAATTCAATCTGGCCAAGAAAGCGTATTTCGTATCTATAAACTGGGGGTCCTGAAAGCCTACGGTGGCCCAAAGAGTGCTGTGCGAGGGGACCCACACTGGCCAGGGGGCCCCAGCAGGGCGGCCCCCCACCCCCCACCCCGGGGGCGCAGGGCTGACCAGGCGGGTGCTGAGTGCCACCGAAGCGGCGGCAGCCTCGCTCCCGCCCCGGCGGTCTGGGGCCAGTCGTGCCCTGCCCCACGCACCCCTCTGCCCCGCCTGCTCCCCCCCCCCACCCCCGCGCACTTCGTGCTCCCGGCGCTGATCCCCGCGCACCCTGTGTTCCCCATGCTCTGAGCCCGTGCAACCCCGAACCCTGCGCTCTGCCCCTGTGCACCCCGTGTTCCCCAAGCTCTGCCCCCGTGTAACTCTCACACAGTGTGCTCTTTGCCCGCGCACCCTGCGCTCTGGCCCCACTCCGGAGTGTGTACTCGGCCACCCTGCCTCTCCACTCCTGGGTCACAACAGCCACCCGGGAGGCCAGCCAGTATACTAGAAAACCCCCTTCTCTGCCTGCGCAAGAACTGCCGAGTTTGACCCGAACAAGGGGCCGGAGAAAGGAGAGTTGAGGCCGTGCGCAAAGACCCGAGGCACCACGGGTCGGCTGCCCACACCGGAGAAGGCCCCCGGCCTGGGGCTGGCACTCCTATCTCCTCACCATGCCCAGCAGGACCCGCGCAAGCCAGGAGGCTGGGGCAGGGACAGATGGGGCGGCGCGTCCCGGACACCTGGAGCTCCGAGGCAGGGCCCCTCGCTCCGCAGAGGGCAGGAGGGACCATCGGCTTCTGCACAAAGAGAAACAGCCCTCCGTGCTGTCGGTCCTACCGGTTCAGGGCCAGATCGGTTTTTACTTTTTGGCTTTGCGCTTTTCTGATCATCTGAACCTTTACCGTTTTCCTGAATACAGACCCTCTACTCTGCTCTGGGATTCCAGATTCCAGCACTTACTACTCGAATACAGAAAAAAGTACGCAGGCTTTTCACAAGCTGAAGCTGACAGCAGTTCCAGGCACCTAATCTCCCTTCTAATCTGATGGCCCGGGCGCCTGCTAAATAGAAGAGGAAAACCTGGGGCGCAGTGCCGAGTGGGAGACGGCAGCGAGAGCGAGAGCAAGGGCAATGACGCCCTCCCCGAAGAAGTTCCTTTTCATCGGCTCATCTTGAGATCCAAAGGGACCCTAAGAAAGGGAGGGGCCTTTCCGTTCAGGAAGAACCGTAAAAAGATGTGACAGTTCATCCAGAATGTATGAATGAATCAAGAACCAAAACCAGCACTGAACAGGCAGCAGAGAGCCACCGGGGGAAGATTCAAATGGGAAAAACACGACAGAATACGAGCGCTCAAACTCCCCTGTGCGGCACGTCTACGCGAGCGCGTAAGGAGGGCCGGGCCGCCAGCTGCCAAGGATAAGGCGCAGGGCTCCCAGAAAGCAGAGGAAAATGAAGCCGCCTTCGGTTTTCTCTTGCTCCCTCCCTCCACCGTGCACGTTAAGCACCAGGCCTGTACATGCGTAAGGATGCTCTTCTCTAACGGGGCCCAAGTAACGCAGTTAACGCAAGGTGGCCGTTTCAGAGAAACGGAGTGCGGGCTGGGGCTTCTTACCAGTGATAGTATTGTAGTGGTAGGAGGCATGTGTAAAAGCTTGCAGAAGGTAAGCCTTGTTCTTGAACCTGTAGTTGATTTTCTTCTCAAAATTCTCAAAACCCGATATCAGGTGATTCAGTGTTTTATCTGCGTCCGGATGATCAAACATACATCGTGGTGGAATCTTCAAACAACCGTACTCCAAGTCTTTCAGGACGGAGGAGCGCGGGCCGGCCACCGAGGCGGCGGCCCGGCTCCCTGAAAGGGCCTTTTGTTGGCTGTTGAAATTCTCCCTGGCGGGGCACATGGCCTTTTCCCGATCAGTCCTTTTAATTACCGGGAGCACCTTGAGCCCCAAGGAGCAGAGGAACAGCTGGGCAGCCCTCTCCCCGCAGCTGGTCAAATAGCAGCCCAGCAGGGCCTCCACACAGTCGGCTATGCTTTTGTCTGCGATGCACTGCTCGGTGTGCAAGTCGTAAGAGATGGACTGTTTCCCTGTGTCGACGCCACAGTTCTCTTCCGACGGGTTCCAGAACCCCACCACAAAGTCATCCTCTTCGACGGCTTTGCTGGGATCCAGGTAGCACATGGCATCCCAAGAGCTATAGTCGAAGTCCTCGAAATCTGAGGAGAATGGCATGCTACCCAAGGAGGATTTTTTGGGCATTTTCCATTCGTATGCAGAATCAGTGGCTGAGAGAGGAGAAAGAGAAATTTTCTTTACGAAAGCTCCTGATCCCATTAGCATGTTATCTATGAATTTGATATGTTCCTGATCATACTCCAGGAAATCATCTTCGTCGTCGGCGTCCTCCTTTGGAACCTTCCACGTCAGATCCTCCCCCTCCTCATCGTCCTCCTCAAAGTCCTGGTCCAGTTTGCCATTAGCCAACATGCAGTCTTTTGTCTGAAACGACGGGGAATGGGGAAGGAGGGGAGACATAGCTGCTGTTTTTAAAAGGGTTTGAAACTCAATAAAAGCAAGGGTTGTGGATAATTTCAAATGACAACCACAAATACTAAAAGGCAACTTTAAAATCACGGCCATTTGTTTTCAATTAACATAAAATAAGTTATTTAATCATATAAACAAAGTAAAACATGTTCTTTGAATGTTCATTTTCTAAGTTATAAAATGACCTTTAGCCAGTATGAAGCTTTAAGTTAAGGATTTCTGTACGTGGATATAAAGTTAAAATTAATGTCCGCGAGGCACGACTGTAGCTAAGGAGGCTTACTCCAGCAGACTCACAATAAAAGCACTCACATGCCGATCACAGAGGTCTTCGATTTTGCTGACAAAGTTTTAAAATGTTTCGAAAAGATTTTCAAATTAATAAAATCAAAGTCCAGATGCAGAGAAAGCATTATCTGTGCAACGAAGAGTATAAATACATGAAAAAGGATCAACTGCTTTAAAAATCTGTAGAATATTAAAAATGGGCAATAGGGGTTCATGGGAAAGTTCTGTCCCCGCTTTCCACTGCAAATCAAAGTACATTTGCTATAACGTAAAACTGGATTGCTCTGCTTGAAAACTAAAAGTGATCACTGAACCAAGCTACAAATTTGGGAAATTATGCTTTTCCCCTCCACCGTGCTACGGTAATCAGAGGAACAGATTATAGCATAACTGACAAAAACAGAAGAAAATTTAGACTAACATGAAACACAACAATCCAATTTCTGTCAGAAGATCTTTGCTAATTCCAATTTCTTTGGCAAAAGCTTATTTGTGAATGACAACCTTAATAATGGGCTAGGATTCAGTAATGATGTAACTTTTTTGCAATGCTAGGAGATGCCAAATTTCTGTTGCGCAAGAAATAAAAAAAATAAAATAAAAAGACTTTCCTTTCCTTTGGGGCGAAAGGCAGGAGAGTTTGCTTCAATTTTGATAGCAACAACTTTCCAGAGATCTCCTGACAAAAGTTTTCAAACCTTGTCAAGTATTTTTTAAATACTGCAAATATTTCATTTTAAGTCGGACTCAAAAGGGACAGTGTAGTTGTTTGAAAATAAAGACGAGTAGTGAGCCAATGTAGACGTGTGTGTATCTACAACAACATGCCTGAATTTTTTTTTTTTTTTAATAAAAAAAGTTTATAAAACGTTTTCAAGATTACGGAAGAATATGAGAAAGAACTATAGTGGCAGACCTCTAGGAACTACTTCCTGCAAAAAGCCCTGTACTCTTCGAGGTAACATGAGCTGTTTTGACTACTGTTTGGTCCCTGCACTAAAAAAAGGCAAACTGCCATTAAAACAAAAAATCAGAGTGAAAAAACGTTTCATTAAATAGAATCTTCGTATATCTTCGGTAAGATGCTCCTATAGTCTGGAATTGGCAATATACACACACCAACCCCAAAGACTGGGTTTTATCACAAATAAAGCAAAGTTCTTTAATGCCTCTGGGTTTCAGTTTCTCCATCTGCGAAATAGCGGGGTCCGACCTCCCTAAATAAGAACACTGCAGGCTCTTCAGAAAAATGCCAGCATAAAACTCTTTTCGCTTCCAGTTCAAGTCAACCTTCTGAGTTATTACCTTCTGCACTCGCATGCAAAGGTTTCTCTTAAACCTACGTGGGGAGGAGCGAGGTGGGTGAAGCAGGAATGCACACGCTCTCCTGTGTCTGTTTCAGTAAGCATAAATTACTAAGTGAAAATACGAACAGGATCTTTAATATATTCCAAAAGTCACGGTGCCAGGTCATCAGAAATGTTAAGGAAAATAAGAAATGTCTGTTCTAACGTAAAACAACATTTTTTTTAATCAAAAGGACTTGTCAATGTCACCTTGATGCTAATTTTTTTTTAAAGAACCGATTATATTATGAACCTACTTACAAGGCAGAATAATTATCACTGGCATGTTTTTCATAGATATGCAATATTTTCTCTAAAGTTCTCAAAATCTACATATTTTCCTCTAAGGTTCCACCCATTTCTAAATCAGGAACGAATATAATTTTTCTAACCCAACTTGCATTAAAATATTCTGATGCTTTTCTCCAGAGGAGGTCAATTTCTGTAAGACACTGAAATCATCTCAAATACTGCACGAGTTAAAAATATACTCAATGAAGAGATAAAAATCAAAACAGGGTCGCAGAGCATCAGGCCTGGAAATATTTGAGCCCAGGAACCGGGACGTGCGTGTCAGAAAGAAGACGTGAAGAGCACATATTTAGGAGGCATAATCTGTGAAAGAAACAGTATTCTCAGCGTTGGCCTGGAGGAAAAATGAAGTAACAACGATCTAGTTTCTCATTAATGCAAAATAAATGTCCGAGAAAGCAAAGTGCCAGAGAGATCGCCTTTGAGTTTGGAAGAGGCGCTCTCGTTCCCCAGCCGCCCACCACGGGGAGGGACCGACCGCTCTGCCGGCTCACGAGCCCGCCGAGGTGCCCTCTGGTGGCCTTCAAGACGAGACAAAATGAAGCCGCTGCAGCTGATACTTGGTCGTCTCAAGTCCCTGGCAAAATGTAAACTGTTTCCAAAAAACTACAACCCTTAGGATCTTTTTTTTTTTAGTTCACAAGAGAAGGCCTAGTCCTCACTGAGAAATCCCTGAACTACAAAGCAAGGCTTTACTGAAATTAATGACTTCATAGATAGGAGATCACAGACCACTGAAGAGTCATTTTATGGAACAGAGCTAAGGGTCTGTCCTCAATTGTAATATCAGGGTAACAAAGTGAAATATTACGGAGTTTTGTTTTCTTCTTTTTCAGAGTCACAACATCATATACCTCTGGAAAAGGAAGATGATAGAATTGTCCCCACCCCCCAAAAATATCTAACACTGTTTCTGAATTCAATGAAGAGACAGTCTCCTTAGAGAAATTAACACATCAAATTCCTACTCTATTACAAATATGCCACGGAAAAGAAACAGAAAATTAAGAGAACAAAATTCTCCCCGTTCACCAAAGTAGAAGTCCTTCCAGTTACCAAAAACTTACCATTTCATCTTTTTCCCATTTATCTGTATTACTTTTGTCTTGGTTTACTACATAACCAGGAGGAAGCCAATTCACGGGGGGATCAAATATGGACACCACCATGCGGCTGGGCAGTCCCTTCTTTTTTCCAAGCCGATACAGATTACAGTTGCTGACCTTTAGCAGAAAAAACGTGTAAGACACTTATCCATAAATGCCCACTGCTGGAGTTCACACCAGGCAAATAAACACATATTTAGTTAAATGTTCGTATCACCACAACTGGTCATCAATTATAAAGAACGTACAGGTTTTCTGCCTATTCACGGTAAGAAATTTTACGTGCCCGTGTATTCTACAACCTTTAGTGTCGTTAGATGAATACTTCTGGATATAAAAACACAGATCAGAAAAAACTAATACGCAAATTCCCTATAAAGTCAGAACAAACAATTCACACAATTTCAAACTTAAAAAAAAAAAAAACAACCTGATGATATCAAATGCAAACTGCCAACTGGAACTATCAGAATAGAAAAGAATCCCTGTAAAGCATCTAAGGTGTCACAATATTCGTAATGAAATAAATGGGGGGAAATGCCACAGACTCTAGCTATGTAAGTGGAAACTGGCACTGAGTAAATGGAGCTAAAATCATTTTATACTCCTAAGCCACAAATGACATTTTTGTTCAATCATTTTAAAACACAGCAAAAGGTAATAACTCCGTGTTTATTCACATCAATAAAACAGCTTCATTGTTTGCCCTGTGCTGTGTTTTTCCTACAGACCCCATGTCCTCCCTAACTCACTCACTCGTTAACATTTCTACCTAGAAACGTCTAGTAAAAACCTGGAAACAAGGATCTAGAATGGTCCACGCCATATGCATTTTCTATAAACCAGGTTCCTTTCTACTAAGTACTTCACGAGCCCTCTCTCTGGGGAACTCGGGACCACTGAACAGGTACCCACATCCCTGAGAGAACAGTCAGAAAACTGAGGGACTGCTAGTCCCTGCAGGCGACACAGCTGGGGGGGGGGGGGGGGGCCCGGTGTCTGCAGGTGACACTATGTGAGGCACGCTGTCTGAAACGTAAGGGCTCTGATAAACGCTAGCATCCTTTTCCAGAGCCGGAGAATCACAGCATCACAGCTGGCAACAGGAGGACAGAGACGGCGATCCCATCCACTCAGATGGCACGGGTGGCGGGACGGAACGGGAAGAGAGAACTAGAGGCCATTCGACAAGCGGGGGGAGGGCCGTGAGAGAGGAACAACAGCGGGGGTGTGTGCGTGGAGTCCGCGCGAAGACCGGCGAGGGGCTCAGGCCTGGTCAGGACACCAGACCGAGCTGAGGGAATAACGATGATCTCTACTGGAAGCAAGGAGCCAAAGCTGTCCGGCAGACGCAGAGATGCTATTTCGGAAACGTACGCTGATTTCTTCCTCACCTAACAGAGTCCATGTGCTATCGCTTTATACCGATTCTCAGCCTCTGATGTTTTGTTCCTACAACCACCTTCTTGGTGACCCCATTTGTTCTGACAGCTTTGATTATCACTCTCATGAAGACTATTCGCCCAAGCCATAGTTCAGTCCTAAATTCTCAACAATCCCAACGTTTCACTTCATTTTCCACGAGGTCCGAAAACCCTAATCCTCACCCCGATTCCTCCATTTGTGCTCCTCCCACCAAGAGCGCCGCCACGGCCCCAGCCTACACAAGGGCACCCCGGCATCACGGCTCTCTCTGCCCCCCAATCACACGGAGGGGCAGTGAGAAGGGCAGTGGAAGGAACGGGTTCTCGCTTCCGACGCCCTCCCGACTGGTAAGTTAAGTAACCTTACGCCAACCAAAAGCAACCTCTCCAGGCAGGAGTCTCCCCACCTGCAAAATGGAGGCGTGTTATCCAGCCCCCAGGGGCTCAGTGAGAAGAGTAAACGAGGTCTGTAAAACGCTCAGTGTAGTGTCCGGTGTTACAGAGTGACATCGGAGGTAGGGGAGTGTGACGGTGAAGAGCACGGTCTCTGATGCCGCACTGTCTGGGCTCCGCCACGTACTTGCCACGTGACCCTGGGGCAAGCTAACACCTCCTGCCTCAGGATCCTCGTCTACAGAAGAGGGATAATAAAAGTGTATACAATTATACATAAAATCTAAAAAATGTAATAAAAGTGGGGCGCCTGGGTGGCTCCGTCGGTCGAGCGTCCGACTTCGGCTCAGGTCATGATCTCGCAGTTTGTGGGTTCGAGCCCCGCGTCGGGCTCTGTGCCGACAGGTCGGAGCCCAGAGCCTGCTTCGGATTCTGTGTCTCCCCTTCTGTCTGCCCCTCCCCTGCTCGTGCTCTATCTCTGTTTCTCAATAATAAATAAACATTAAACATTGTTTTTTAAATGTAATAAAAGTATGCAGAATTTAATTAGGCCATGATATAACACATAAGGCTGCAAAAGTAGCGTCTGGCTGGAGGAAACGCTTAGGAAGTGTGAGCTTCAATTCTCATTCCCCCCGAACTACTACTCGCCTCGGTCCTGTCCTCACTGCTGGAACTCGAGAACCATCCCCTACTCTGCCTGCTTACACTCTGCAAAAGCCCAGCCGATCGCCCCGCTCGGTCTGGCTTTGCGCTTGGACTCAGGCCGCACTCTGCTACCAGAGCGATCACGTACAAGCAGCGCTTCCAGAACGGTAAGAGTCCCTGATGCGAAAAGTGCCCCCGACATCCCAAACACGCGCAAACTCCTGGGCCCAGCCTTGAACATCTTCCACGACAGAGCTTCCCACACCTGCCCTTTTACCCTTTCCTCTGCCTGCTGCCACAGTTGGGTCACTGAGTGCTGCCGACGCACCCTGCCGTCTGTTCACTGTTTACACACTGGGTGCCAGTGCACCTCCTCCACGAACGCCTTCTTCTCCCAGCGACGGTCCTTCTCTCTGAGCGTCCGGGGCAACGAGCAGCTTTGTAAGTTACACGTCAAGCACGGACATGTTGCCCTGTGACACCTCTTTTATCATCGTTTAAACATCTTACCTTCGCCGCTTCCCTTCCTGAAATCTTAATTCCCGCTGGCGTGGGGTCACACCCTTCCTCTGGGCTCTCGGCCCCCTGCGTGCTCGGAGCTCAGGCGTCACCCCCTTTATGCTGGGGAGTCACCGAGCTCCCCTCCCTTCCTCACTCTCCAAAAACCCTGAAGATGAGCTCCTCCGTGCAAGACCTGTGTTTTCTCCAGGTCCGGATGCCTTGTGTGCCAAGACGGCATTCTCCCAGATAAACTTTTCTCTCCACTGAAATTAAAGCGCGAGCACCCTCCCCGCCAAACAACCACGCCTCGTACCTCTTCACACCCCCTGGGGACCCAGCGAGCACACGTATTCTCGCAAACGGTCCCATCAGAGCTGAATTTCCATCCGTCCACAAGGCATACACAGATCAGCTGATGCCCCAAACCTTGGGGGCTTCATCAGGGAAAGGCAGCCTCCCGTCTGAGCGATCCCTCGTCCTCTGAAACCAGCGGGCGCGTGACCCCACGTCCTAGGCACGCCGAACGCTCACTCTGAGTGAGAAACACGGTATTTCTTACCTTTTTGCTTCTCATATAGGAAAGGCGGCCCTCGTGCGCGTCGGGGTAAGTGCAAAACAGGTACGTGGTGATGGCATGCTTTAGAAAGGAGTCACCAAGCATTTCAAGCCGCTCCAGGTTAAACCCATCGCTAGCATTTGAAAGGGTCAAAGCCTGCAGAATGAGTCCAGGGTTCGGGCCAAGAGTCCTCGAGGAGTAGCCGGGACAAGGGCTCTGCGCAGAAGCCCTCCCGTCCCGGGGCGCGGGAACAGCTTCGTTAGTACCGGGCGTCGTGGCCGCTGCGGGACTTCCATCTGAGGTAGATGTGTTAGCATTTCCGTCAAGGTATTTGTTACTCAGGAGAGTACATTCATCGCTGGGCTTGGGCTGGTTCTCGTAACTGTATAAATTCTGAATGGGATATGAGGTAGTTGGTTGTACAGGTATTTCCTGCTTGTAGTAACTCAAATGATTTCCTTGGCAAAAGTCTCTGTTCGCCAAATCGCAACTGCCATTGGCAAGGTTTTTATCGTACGAAAGACCGTTGGTCGCCGTGAGATCTGTCGAAGCTTCGATCTGGAGCTTACCGGGTGACTCACCGAAGAGCGTTCTGCAGTTCACAGACATTTGGTCGTGATTTTCTAGAGAGGAGGTTCTAGTAGCACCTTGACGGGCAGCATTTTCAGGGACTACAGTTGTGCTGTGCTTACAGTAATTATCGTTTTCAGCCCAAGAGGAGCTAGCAATTGAGATGAAGGACTTGCTGTCGATAGATTTCTTCCACCCGAAGTCTAGGTTGGGGTATCTGCAAAGACATTTTTATGACTTCGTCAGACCCTTCAAAAGGGCGAGGCTCAGAGCAAGAACGTCAACGACATAAATAAGTAAAAGAACGGTCCCTCCGAACGAGCTCCCACTTTGGAGGAGAAACAAGTCCCCGAGGCAGAAAATCACCATATCGGAATTCGGCCCCGGGGACGTCAGGCAGCGGGACGTCAGGCCCTGCACCGTTTTAATCCGCCGCTCGACACCAAGCGCGGGGTGGGGGCGACGCGCGGGGTTGGCAACGGGACCCGGAGCCACCGTCTGGGCCGGGATCCCAGGCCCTCCGGCTAACGAGCTTGTGATTTACGGAACCTCTCTGCGCCCCGGCTTCCCACACCCGGAAGAGGGCCGACCACTCCTACCCCATAGGGCCGTCCTAGCGATTAAATGACCCAAGACAGGCCACGGCATCCGAGCCAGTGTTTGACGCTGAGGTAAGTACTCAGCAAATGCAGCTGTGACTACTACTGTCCTGTTTTAAGATTCCTTAATCCCTGGAACCACTGTGGTCTCCACAACTGGGTAACCGAAATTAATCTGAGCGGCTAAGCCAATAATTTCCTTAGAACGCAGAAACTTTCCTAGCGGGAAGAGAAAAAGACAGAGAACACCTTGAGGCAATTGCCATTTAATATAGACTTGATTTTACAGAAGAGGAAGTGGTCTTCCAATGTCAGCAGGGCAACCAAGAACTGTTCCCGTTTTCGCTCTGACCGCCATCACTGAAGGAGGAACGACCCCCTTCTCCCTGTGCAACTTCACAAGAATGTAGGAATCAAGGGATGCGTTTACTTCATGTATGAGACATCCGTGCTTTCTTTTTAAGCTTTTAAGAACTGTTTTATATAAAATTAAAATCGGAACTTAATTCAGTTCTTTTGCTAACAGGCTTCCATGACCCCGCGCTCCTTCTGGCTGACGGCACAGGCATACCTAAAATCCACGGGAAGTGATCGGACTCCCACGCCAGCATCGCTGGCCGTTTGGGCTCTTAGCTCCTCTGCGGTCAGAAGGCAGTGAAGGCGGTAGAGTATGCTAGGGAGACAGACTGCTTTTCTCCACAGTGATGCTGGAATCGGATGTATAGCACAGAGCTCTGGAACCAGGATCTTTGAATAAGCAAAAATGTGGACAAATATAAAGCAAACACACAAAAGAATAAAAAATTAAAGACCAATTTCACTATAATGGATAAAGACAAAAATCACGAACATTAATAAAGTCTTACTTCTAAAAGCAATCCCTTTTAAGGCTTAAGGCTGCATGGGATTTAATCTAGGATTTATAAGGATGAATCGAATTTTGCCAGTGGACCAAGTATCAAAGGAAACCCATATTTCCAAAAAGCCATTCAAATACAGGTTCACACACGGTATTAGCTAAAACATGACAAAGCCTAAGTGTTGGGGATCTTCCAAAAACTTCCTAAGTCACTCAGTTCAACCTGCTGATAAAGAAGTCAAACCTAACGTTTCAAAATAGTAAATGATGCTAGAGTAATAGTGAACACATTACCTGTTTATTCTGCAGACTTTCCCACTTGGCTTTTCTCTTCTCAGCACTGCTTAGAGGAAGGGCTTTCCCCTTCTGATTCAAATGGCGAGGTGTCAAAAGATTAAGTCTGTAAGAATTTCAAAATATTTTTATCAAACAAAAAGAAGTATCCCCCCCCCCACCCCGACCCTTCACAGGGGTTCTCTAGCTCAGTGTGCCTACAAATCACCTGAAGAGCTCATTTAAACTGTGGACTCCCAGGGGCGCCTGGGTGGCGCAGTCGGTTAAGCGTCCGACTTCAGCCAGGTCACCATCTCGCGGTCCGTGAGTTCGAGCCCCACGTCAGGCTCTGGGCTGATGGCTCAGAGCCTGGAGCCTGTTTCCGATTCTGTGTCTCCCTCTCTCTCTGCCCCTCCCCCGTTCATGCTCTGTCTCTCTCTGTCCCAAAAATAAATAAACGTTGGAAAAAAAAAAAAAATTTTAAACTGAGGACTCCTGGACCCCACCCTGGGCAGTTCTCTGTGCAAATAATCTCCCGGTTTCAGAGTTGACAGGCAGGCAGTGGGACAGTGACCTCCTATGGTTGTCTGCCGACCTCTGCAAATAGTGCCTCAGGTGACAGTCAAATGCCATCTCTGAAACCCCTTACCTCGAAGATGTGTGGTCCACATCCAGCAGTGGCTGGTTGAGATTGGTCAGATCAAGGTTATACTTTGTTTTATAATATTCTGCAAAGGTTTCATACTCAGGGGAAGGAAATTTACTCAGTGGGGTAAGATCAGTGTATACATCAGCTACATAAAATCGATGAGGCTGATCAAAATTACGGTATCTAAAAAAGAAAAGCAATACATTTGAGGCAACTATTCTCAACGCGTGTTTTTAATATGAAAATGCAAATTATGATTTTCAAGTTCAAAGGTTAAAAACAAATAGCGTTGATGAGCAGTTCAATTCCAAATAATATATTTCAAGTGGGTGTAAGATGAAAATTATGTCTATATTAAGTAAAAATCGCTTCTCCATTCCACCCTACGTTACGGTTAACCTCATTCTAAAGATCTCCGATCACTCTGATTAACACATGAAGGCTACATGGCACCTTTCGATCTCTCTTAGTGTCACTAACATATACGGGGCAGAGCACTTCCAATATCCTACCAACCGAGTGAGCAAGCACTCTGCATTACAAACAGGCTACACATGAAAGGTGCCTGCCACATACATGCATGAAGGCACCACTCATGTATTAACAGTCTGATGACAGCTGACATTTAAAACAAGACTTTAAGGGGCGCCCGGGTGGCTCAGCCGGCTAAGCGTCGGACTTCAGCTCCGGTCATGAGCTCCCGGTTCGTGGGTTCGAGCCCCGCGTCGGGCTCTGTGCTGACAGCTCGGAGCCTGGAGCCTGCTTCGGATTCTGTGTCTCCCTCTCTCTCTGCCCCTCCCCTGCTAGCTAGCACTCTGTCTCTGTCTCTCAAAAATGAATAATAATCAAGTCAAAAAAGTTTTTAAATATGATTTTAAGTTGCAAAGAAGAAAAAACAGAAATCAGGAAAGACCGAGTTACAGCCAGTACTCTAATTTTATGAAAAGTTCCTATATTTAAATTTATTGCTCAGAAACTATCCCCTAAATTCTTACAAAATAAGAAAAAAAGCATCCTGATTTACTACTTCATTGCACTTAATACCATTATTCCCTATGAGAAGTTTAAGAAGCTATTGTTTACAATCAAATTCTTTAAGACTTTGGGGATTAAAACAAGGAAGATTTTGGGGTGCCCGGGTGGCTCAGTCAGTAAGCACCCGACTTCAGCTCAGGTCATGATCTCACGGTTCGTGGGTCTGAGCTCTGGGTTGGACTCCGCACCGACAGCTCAGAGCCTGCTTGGGATTCTCCCTCCCTTCCTCCCTCTCTCCCTCCCCTCGCTCTCTCCTTCCCCTCGTTCTCTAAGAAATAAACTGGAAAAAAAAAAAAAGACGATTTTAAGAAAGCCTTTCAACAGCGTGTAGATGATCTGAACTTCACAAAATCAAACCCCTCCACCCACAGCGTTCCAGGTGTGGTTTCTCACAAGAGGAAGTCAGCTAGGGAGAACAGGCCCCACCAGGAAGAGACACCTACGCTTCCCAGGAGATGCATCAACGCCACGGCCCCCTGGGTTTCCACCCGAGGGAGCTACTCTCCCGAAACAAAGTGCCACCCCCGCGTGGCGCTCCGCTTAGATACTCACCTCGGAATGATGACTGCGTCCTGGTAATCTTCTAATTTAAAAACAAAGGGTGTTTCTTTTGAATACTTTGTGCTGGGAATGCCTATGCGAGCTTCAGATTTCTCAATATCTTCCATGAATTTAAAGTCAATGTCCAAAGTGCTGGAGTCATTCACTTAGGGAAGGAAAAGACTCTTTAGCTCGTTAAAATAGAATACGGGTGGGATTCTTACTTAAGCTACGTATTCGAGCAGGTGTCTAATTTGGAGTGGTCTCTAGTAAGAGATTTCTCTAGCGGCCACCATAAACTAACGTTACGCAAGCTTCCCTTTTCCAGCTAGTATCGGCCAACACGTCAGAGTCTGGGCCCTTCTTACCAACGTTAAGAGGTAGAACACAGTATGCTGAATCAGCGTCTGTGGGTTTAAATTCTAGTGCAGGTTTTTCAAGCCGAAGAATATGAGAGAATATATACTGGTGAAGTCTTGTGATCAACTCAAGCATTTGGAGAGACAACGTGAAACCAGACTTCTTCAACTCAATGGATATGGTGACCTCTCCGGAGCGCGTGTACACAGGAAAGTGCGGGATCTTAGCAAAAAGAAAAATCAAGCATCCCCAGAGTTAACAGGTATTTTATTCCATCACAAATATTTCATTTCAGAGGGGGAACGACGCTGTCAATCCGGGGAAAAGAAGGGACACCTTGACTCTTAAGTAGCAAACATCCTGAGGTAACGAGAGATGGCTTTAGCCGTTCCCTCTTATCGATAGCAGTCCTAAAGAACTGTCTACCTGAGGTATGGGTTTGGCCGTCAGTATTCCAAAGCATCTGGTGGTATCCTCAGGGGGATAGAGCTTCCGCCTTCTGAAGTTGAGTTCATCAGGTAAGGGTGTCGTCAGAACCATTCCTATCACATACAGGTAACAGGGCTGATCGGGTTTGGGATAGCTATCCCTCAAACATTCCGGAATCTAAAATTAGAAAGAAAACTTAAGCAAGTGTGACAGACAGCCTCTTGTCCAGACACTGGCCAACAAACAAACAAACAAACAAACAAACTTACTTGCAGCTTTCCTAAAAGCTGATGAGAAAAAGGGAAGCAAACACCCAGGGCAGGAGGCCTCATTCCTTAACTCTGGGGGACAGCCAGCGCTGCTCAGGCCTGGGCTCTGGTGGCCCATGGTCACCTCCCTCATAACGCACTGCCGACTCTAACACCAAAACTTTATAAAAACGACCAAACCCTGTAGGCATTTTCTTAGAAACGCTCTTCATTTCAGCTCTTTCTTTTGATCAGAGAACTCTTCCTTGGGGCTTTTAGTCTTTACTCACTGCAGAATAGCAGAAAACATGCAAAATTTTACAAGTCCCACATAACTGTATTGCTCAGATATCGCGTCTATTAACTTTTTGACAGACTGCATCGTCTTCCAGATGTTTTCCTGTGTGCAAATGTGGATCAACATACACACACACGTGTGCTTCATCACCCACGGAATGACACAACAAAGACTGTCGTCACCTTATTTCTTTTATCTCCAATTCCTACAATGAGAACATCTTTCTTGGTCAATACAAATCTGTATCATTTTTAATGGCTATGTAGTTATAGGAGTAAACTGCAGTTTAACGGGCCTGAGACTGTTTCCAAGCTCTCAATAGTCACACGACCCTACGCAACAGAGTCGTGAAGTTTCTGAGGCTCAGGGGCATAAATTGTATCTGTAGTTAAAAGGCACAGAAATACTGGTGAGGAGACAGGGTTATCAGAATGCCAGATAATCCAGAACGTATCTATTGATTAAAACTTATTATGACTGACGACCTTTGTCACAGGAAACAAGCCCAGTGGTCTCCGGGGTAAATGTCGAGTAGGAAGACAGAGAAGCAAGCCCTTGAGGAAAACTGAGGGAAACAAGCATTTCAGGGGACAGGTTAATATTCATAATTTTTAAACAACTGACATGATTTTGAATCTTGAAAATGCTCGGCTGAGTGAAAACCGTCTAAAAAGTAAAATGCTCAACAGCGCTGCAAAAATAAAACAGAAGAACCATACTTCTAGGCTAGGATGAAAAATACACAGCAAAATTTTGCTTTTGTTTGCAATTCTTTTTTTTTTTTTTTTTTTATGTTTATTTCTGAGAGTGAAAGAGACAGAGCGTGAGCGGGGGAGGGGCAGACAGAGAGGCAGACAACAGAATCCCAAGCAGGCTCCAGGCTCCGAGCTGTCAGCACAGAGCCCGACACGGGGCTCGAACCCACGAACCGTGAGATCATGACCTGAGCCGAAGTCGGATGCTCAACTGACTGAGCCACCCAGGCGCCCCTGTTTGTAATTCTTAGGGGGGAAAAATCTTAGCAAGTATTTTTTCAATAAGACCTTCAGTCCAGTACGGCTCTGCCCGGAAGTCAGACTCAGGGACGTCTTAGCACATGAATCCTGCCAGGATGCCATAGAGTTAGCCAGACGCGGCACGCTGGCGGAACTGGCTTTGACCGCAGGCGGGCCACAGCCTGGCTCCCGACAACTGGCTTTGACCGCAGGCGGGCCACAGCCTGGCTCCCGACAAATCCTTGTGCGCCCGCACCTTGAGCGGGCACCCTTCCACCTGCCTATCTTACCGTGCAAATCCTCTCTTGTCTTAGTCCCGAACGCAAATGAGGCCAACGTCTTCCCGCTAAAGGGAATGAAACAAAAAAACACCTCTCTAAAGGAAATGAACTCATTCTGGATAGAATTTGACAAATGAGGCCAAGCTCCTTTTGAGGAGAAATACAAAAGCAATGTCCTAAGTGGGAAAGAGCACAGAGCGCACACGGGAACGAGGAGGGGCTGGCTGATCTGGCAGAAGCTGTGATGGGAGGAAGCGAGCTGAGATCCCAAGCGGGCCAAATTACAAGGCCTGGGAAGCCAAGCAGGGGAATGCAGATTTGAGGTAGCAGGAAATAAAAAGTCAGAAAGGTTAGATTCATATGCAGTTCTAACCGATACTAACTGCCTTTGGGTAGCACTGTCTTCGCTTTGTGGAACCTGGTCTTCCTGGAACGCTGGTCTCTTCTTCGTCATGTAAATCGAGCTCTTCTTCATATTTAACCGTCTCTTTCCCAACTGGCATCAAATGGTCATCCAGTTCACCTAGGAAATGTACCGAGAATTAACATAAACAATCCGGATTTTGCCTCTCTAATAAGTGAATAATCCGGAGCGGCACGATATTAGAAAGCAACGGGAAGGGGGGTGAAAACTAAAGCAGCTTTGCTTTAATAGCACAGCGTAATCGGACGTGATGCTTCAGGGAGGCTATTTTGGCGCTCATATAGTCAACGTGAGGATTACAAACTCTGCTCCAAGGTGCAGAAATAACGTCTAAACGAGGCACAGCACAGGGAGTATAGCGCAAGGTGCTGGAAAAGCATGGTATGGTGACAGATGGCAGCTACGCTTGCGGGGGGCACAGCATAACGTCCAGACTTGGGGAACCACCATGTCCTACGCCAGAAAGTGATGTAACATTGTGTGTTAACTACACCTCAATTAAAAAAAAGAAAAGTGTTTTTAAATGACGTCTGAACAGAGAAACAGCACTCTGTTTTACAAAGTCTATGGACAACAAGACTTCCCTTTTTTTTTAAGTGGATTAATTTGTAAACTAAACCGATCTGAGAAAACGACCCATTAAAACACAAACGCTCACGACTCAACAGTTACAAGAAGACCTTTATGTGTTGAAAAGGGGTCAGTAAAGGGAGCAAATACATTACAGGTATTCGCAGGGAAGCTGTGGCCTCAAAGCTGGTACATGTCACAGGACCCTCACGTTACACCGTATTTACGTACGTACGTCCGCCTTCACCAGAGCACAAGGAGAGCAGCGAGTTCAGAGGTCCTTGATGTGCTTTTGTTTTACAAGGGTTTCAACCTTAGTTTTATCTGCATGTGCTTTTCAATCACTCTTACCAATTTTGTGCAGTTTTTCACAGCAAATGAGAGCTACAACTCTTTCGGCCAATCGTACACAGCTCATTGGTGGACCCTGAAAGTAACAAAAAACATTTCCACTGTACATGAGCGTAGCTATCGATCATTAGCACATATGACTTCTAGGAAGCCTCTGCCCCAGCATCTTTAAAGCTGAACTTTACCAGAGTAAAGTTCTTCATTTTGAAAAATACCAACAAGTTTGTTAAAACCCTGATTTCCACAGTTGAAACGGCCATTTTTAAAAGTCCTGCCCAGTAAAACCTAGATCAGCTATGATGGAGATCTGACAATTTTAATGAATACAGATTTCAGTAAGATTTTAACGTATCTTAGTTCGACTAATCTATGAAGAGGAAACAAACTAAAGATCTATCAAAATGTGACTATAACATACAAATTAACAGCACAAATTTTCATATGTAAGAGAAATTAGTCATCCCGGAATATCTGGAAATCAGTACTGGGACCAAGCACAGCAGTTACACAGAGGCAGATTTTCGGGTGAACAACCAAACAACTACAAAAGCCCAAACATATTTAATAAATTCTGCTCCTGGAAGTATCTTAAGCCACAGCTGAGGGATTCGGTCAGAAACGCCGACACTAGTAAGATCTCAGAAGAAACTTTAGGGGTCATCTAGCTATACAGTCTGTTGAGGATCTGAACGTGCAGTTGACCACAAAAGAGACTTATAAACCTTCCCTGGAGAACAGATTTAAAGTGGGGCGCCTGGGTGGCTCAGCCAGGTAAGCATCAGACTTTGGCTTGGGTCACGATCTCATGGTTTGTGGATTCGAGCCCCGTGTCAGGCTCTCTGCTGTCAGTGCAGAGCCCACGTCAGGTCCCATCTCCCTCTCTCTGCCCCCATCCCCCGCACACTTTCTAAAATAAATGAACATTAAATAAAATTAAGAAAAAAAAAAAAAGATCTAAACCTAAGTTACCTATAACTTGCATTGGCGTAGAGAAGCTGAAAAAAAAAATCCATTAGTGACATATTTTCAAGGCACAATCATTTCTTTTTCTAAACTTACAACAATGGAGGCTCGAAGAGGTGAGTTAATTGGCAGATAAAGAGTTGAATAAAATGTACCATCAGGCAACTCTCGAGTTCTACATTTAGGAGCTAGATGAGTAAACGGATCACTTGGTAATCTAGCACAGTATCTGTGAAGAAAAAGAAATTCTGATGCTAAATCCACAACTGAGAAATAGGGGAAAAAAATCCGTTTTGGTAGTCATATCCTAAAGTTTAAGTTTTTATGTCCCTCTTCCCCTCTATTGGATTGGTACTGACACGGGAAGTGTGAGTTCACTGCTTCCAACTTTCAGTAAGATGGAATAGTGCCGTCCAAAAGAATCGTCTGCCGTGACAGTCGGTGTCAACACTGTCCAACAGAGCAGCCACGGAGCACTTGGAATGCGGTGAGGACAGCTAGGAAACTCACTTCGAATTTTATTTAATTTTGATTAAAGCTAAAACTCGAATTTAAAAAGGCACGCCCAGGGCTACCATACCGCACAGAAAAATATTGTGCGGAGTCCGTAAGGAGAACACACCGCCAGGGTTTGGTCCTTACTGTCTTATGTGCCCTGGCAAACTACCAGGCCCCGCCCAAGGAGGGCGTCAGAAGAGGCCGGAAGGACAGCCCGGTACTGACATATCGCAAAGCATCAGAACAAGAAGACCCCTGCCCCTGCCCTCCCACCACACCCCCAGCAGTACAAGGAGAGGGATACGGAGCAGGAAGCTAGCTTCAAGGGCGCTGAGACTGAGCAAGCAGGGCGCTGGCTGGGACAGGAAGGTAATCCGGTGGGGGCAGGACTCACACAAGGAGGGCAGCGGAATGAGCAGCTGCCCTGCAAGGTCATGACCCGCGCATTCGGACACCCAAACACGGCGGCGGCCCTGCGAAGTAGGAGACTGCCTGCGTTCAGGGATACTAAACGTGAAAGTAACTATTTTGAGGACAATGGGAGTCCTATCTCTCACTATGGAAGAAGCCAGAAACAAAGATGGAAAAGAGGAAAGCTAGAATGAACCCTGTGGTGTCATGGTAAAAGTGGACGTAACAACATAAAGGTAGTCAGGTGTGCAAATAAATACAGCTATAAATGTGCATGTGAATACACACACACACACACACACACACACACACACACACGTAGTTTCTAGCTCTGTCGACTAAGGAGACTGAGAGTAGAATGAGAGGCAATGAACACACTTAGTGCTCAGACTTTGGTTTCTAAACACCACTCATCTGCCACTAAAAAAAAGCAGAAGCTTTTGGAGAAACAGCCAATATCTAGGCTGGGGCAGGGAAAATAGGAGTTAAATCTAGAACATCTCAGTGTGCCATAAAATAAGGAAGTGACCAAAGAACAATGGTGATGTAAAAAAGACTAGCTTGAAGGGGCTTCCACGGCCAAATCTGAGATAACTGTAACATCAAAACAAATAATAAATGATAGTGAGCAGAATATAACCCACTCAATAAAACAGAAGTCCCTCAGTTTGTAGGAGATAAAAACATTGATAAATAAAAAGAATAAATGAGTGGAGAAAAGAGAAAGCTCTTCGTCACAGCAGAATATGCCAGCAAACAGAACAACGGAATCAGAAAATCACAATTTTGCAGATGCCACAGCAATGATCAATTCAGGCCAGAAATATCAATGGATACTTAAACTAATGGGTGAAACCAGGAAGAGGAATAAATTTTACATGGTCCTAAACCACCTCCCCATGAACTACACACTCACTATGGAGGGAGAAAAGGCAACTTTACGACAGAGGAAGCTGCAGACCTTCTGGAAGTGATCAGGAGCCACCACCACCAGTAAGAGCACAAATCGACACTTGAGTGTGCCCGGCGGGATAGGATGGGAACAGAGCATCCCTTCTGTGATGTGCTGGCTCCAGTGCACAACCTGGGGCTCAATGTCGGAAAGAGCAGATAAAGCCACGCTGAGAGACGGCCTACAAAATGGCTGGCCTATAAGCTTCAAACGTTTCAAGGTCATTAAAGTCAAGGAAACTCAAGAATAATTCCAGGCTGAGGGAGACTGGAGAGATGAGAAAAACACACACAACTCCTGATCCTGGATTGGATCCTCTCCCTACCAAAAACATTCTCGCGAAACCTGAATGGGTCTCTCTGGGTGGGGGGCGTATGAGAGTTCTCTGCAGTATCCTTGCAACATTTTAAAGTGTGAAATGGTTTCAAATTAAAGAGTTAAAAAAAAAAAAATCTTACGTCGGTTGCTGCTTTATTTTGCCTCTGCACAGAAACTTATCCTGATACATAGTCTAGGCATGTAGCTGCTTTTCTTAGTTCTTGGAAAGGTTATTACCAACTCTGGACAAAGTAAATTAGCCCATGATCAGAAATACAAGTTAATGTATCATCATCTTGTAATATCGCAGCTAATGGAAAATTCAACATCCCTCAACGTTCATGGCATGAGATTTTTCAGGATAAAAAAAAAAAAATTCAGTGAGCAAGGTAAAATTAAATTAAATCTAATTAAAAGAAGCATCCCTTGGGGCACCTGGGTGGCTCAGGCAGCTGAGCGTCCTACTTGAGCTCAGGTCGTGATCTCATAGTTCATGAGTTCGAGCCCTGCGTCAGGCCCCACGCTGACAGTTCGGGGCCTGCTTGGGATTCTCTCTCTCATCTCTCTCTGCCCCTCTCCAACTTGTGCTCTCTCTCGCTCTCAAAATAAATAAATAAACTTAAAAAAAAAAAAAATCATGCCTTCATTAAGTCAGCCTTCCAACAAAACCTAAACATTTATCACCGTGCAATACAGTTTTTACCTTCTGACCAAAAAGGAGCATGAGTGGAAAAAAGCAACTTCTTTTCTTTCTCTCACCAAAATATTACAAGCTACAAATGCAAAGACTGGTGATCGTCTGCAACAGGTAAACACTACAATACTCACAGGTTTAGACTTAAGCCTTATAACACTCCTAGGTTTTCCACGCAAGTGACTTCATATCATACCTGTTGATGTGTCCAATGGCCGTGTTGATCGTGACTCGCGGACCACCGTCATCGGGCCTCAACACATATGGCGGGAACACATCGTCATCATCCACGACAGGATCAACGTCAGTCTCACCCGCATCAACGGACTTGGAACACTTGTTTCTCAAGATCTGGACGTTGTAAAAACAGACTTTACGAGGAGAACAAATGCCGTGTTGCCCTATGTCAGTTGTCTGCCTCTGCACCTACGGAAAAAGCTCTCTTGACATGCAACACCGCTCTCTCCTAAACATGCTTCAGAATTCCAAAGTCACCTGATGTGGAAACTCCCTCCCGGAGCACTCCCCCCCCCCCCCCGCGCGAAACCGGGGGGACCCCCCCCCCCCGGGCACAAGGTTTGCACGGTACCGTATCTACACACACACACACACACACGCACACACACACACACGCACAGGGGCTGTGTCATCACCCTGTGACGGCTCCGCAACTCAGCCCCTCAACTGGGACTGCAGTGCCCACACCAACAGGACACACTTTCCAGGCATTTTCCCCCCACAATCCACAGGACCATTTTCACTGTGGGCTCTCAAACAGTTCGTAAAATAGTGCTGGCTCTGTGGTTCCTTGACTTTTCTCACAATGTACACACTGCACACCCTTGCTGAGACTACGCTCTGCAGGTAAAACTGCTTCTACCCATTTCTTTGCACATAAAAAAAAAAAAAAACTTAAAGACACCCTACTGACTCTCGGAACTTACCTTTTCAATAGCTTTGTATGTTTTAAGGTCTTCTTCAAAACTTTTTATTTTGTCTGTATCTGCTAACATTATGTAATTAGAGATCGGTGCCCTTGCTCGTCCCTTAGATTGAACATAGGATCGATACTCTGTGGGTAAATCAAAACGAACCACCAAGTTGCATTTTGGTATGTCAACACCCTCTTCCACAATGCTTGTCGCAATAAGCAGGTTGGTCTCATGTGCTCGAAATTTCCTAAGTACCTGAAAAAAGTCCATCAAGAGAAGCAATTCTAAGAAATTTCCAAAGGAACGGTGCAGTACCAGTACGTGAAAACTGCCGTTTCTGACACGTACTCTAGGCGCACTCGATCTTCAAGTCCAGGCTAAAGATGACAGCAGCACACAAACAACAAGACCCACGAGCACGTGTGCAGAGAGACTCTGGTTTATTTTCAGCTGAGCACGACTTGAAAAATCAAAGTGCCCTTCTGCTGTACGCAAGTATGCACGAGCCACAGAAAGCCTTCCGGGCGGAGAGGCTGGCTTCTTCAATGGCCACCACAGAATGCAGCCAACAGTGACCAAACGAATCCGCTTCTGGAGTCCTGCTGATACTCTGACCTCACACAGGGTATCTTCCGGCCGTGACACTGTGCCAACGGCCTCCCAAAGATGTCAAGACTCTTTCACTAGAATCCCTAAAACACTTGTAATTCAAAATTACAAGTAAGGCATTACTTACTTTTTGGCATCTTGGGACATTTTCGATTTAAGGAATCAGAACTACTCATTAAAAAAGGTAAGTGAAAAATTTTCTATGTTAGATTTAAAATAACACCATTTCCCAATCTAGGAGAAGTTAAATTATAAAGTAAGCTGCCTTTTAAACAGATCTATCATACTGGCTGTCAGACTCTCCAAACTTGGAATATTATCACATAGCTACGACATAGAAAACGAACGCCAACGTGAATTAGTCTACCTTGAAGTTAAATAACAAACTTCAAATAAAAACTTTTTGTTTGCCAGCCAGAGCACTATATTAGGTTTCCCATCTTTACAATGCTGTCTCCTATATTAAAATCTTAGAATGTATGAAAAACTTTAAGCCCAAATCTTTAAAATATAGCGTTATTTTTGAAGTATTCAAGGCAGAACTTTAAACAGAAAACAAAACACTTTATAGGAGAACAAATTCATTTTGTAGCTCAGTCATATGCAGTCAACAGGAGTTACGGTTACACATGCTTTGTTTTTCTAGGAAATGCCATCAGTCCAATAAAGGAAAATGAAATGGTTGATGGTAATTAAGACCAAATTGATTTCCTAGACAGCTATTCTAATTCTGAACATATGAATCACCAAACAGCTACCTCATAGGAGACGGCTAGTCTATCTATGAGCAAGTATTCTATGCGACCGAAAATGCCGCCAAGCAACTATGAACAAAGGGAGCTCCTAGGAGCAGAGTTCGTGTGTGTGTGTGTGTGTGTGTGTGTGTGTGTGTGTACATATATACACATATGTATGTATATATATGTATACACATATATTCTGAAAATTGTTACTGTACAATTATTTCAACTTAAGTTACCTCTTCCTGTTTTCTGAATTCTGCTTCCATCTGTTTGTTACGAGGCTGATTCTTTCCAATGCCATGTCCAGTTATAAAATTGCTGCTGATGTAAGCCAGCTCTGGATCTTGTTTGCCAGCTTCCTTTATCAATCTAAGAAAATTACATACATTTGGAAGTTAAGCATTGCTGAGGGAGAAAAAAAAAATTTAAACTTTTTTGTTTGTGAGGTCTCCCTTAAAATGGAAATTACGTGTATTTTTTGCCAACATACCTAACACAACGGGTCTTGGTGGTTTTTGTTTTTTGTTTTGTTTTGTTACGTTTTGTTTTCAACGAGCTTAAACAGAAATCACTGCCACTCTTCACCGCGTCGATCTGTGGACCAAACACTCACTGGTAACGCCAAATACAGGGCTGATTTAGCCTGCCGAACAAAATGGCCACAGTACGTCCAACTTTCTAACTTGGCAGTGAGGACTTACTAGGAATGTAGCCCAGTAGGGGACAGAGCTAGGCAGGGAGAAACATGGAATCCTCAAACATCTTGGCCTCAGGCCAGGACCTATCATGAAAAAGCCGCACACACTTCTCTGAAAGCTCAATGTTCTTCTCCACACACACACACACACACACACACACACACACACACACACACACAC